CAGGTGCATGTGACAACTTGCGCTTGTAGCTGTTTCCAGATAGTTTTCCTCAGGAATTGTTTCTGAGATGACAAAAGGAAATGAGATCCTTTTAAATCATCTTAGTGCAGCTAAGCTTTACAAAGCAACAGAATTGAGTGAAAAATGTAATAATCTCTTTAACTTCAATAGTCACCAAAATTAAAGATAAATTTTCCTCCTCTCTAAAGCTAAATAATTCCAATTTCCATATTCTTTATTTTATTGAAATGAAAGTTTTATGTTGAAAATAGTGAAATGCTTGTTGTTTTATTGATAAAAAAGAAAACAGGCCTGGCAATGGTGGTGCATGCCTTTAATCCCAGCACTGGAGGGGGCGGCAGAGGCAGGAGGATCTCTGTGAGTTCGAGGCCAGCGTGGTTTACAAAGCGAGTTCCAGGAAAGCCACAAAGCTACACAGAGAAACCCTGTCTCGAAAAACCATTAAAAAAAAAAAAGAATAAATTATAGGCTGGGCGGTGGTGGTGCACGCCTTTAATCCCAGCACTTGGGAGGCAGAGCCAGGCGGATCTCTGTGAGTTTGAGGCCAGCCTGGGCTACCAAGTGAGTCCTAGGAAAGGTGCAAAGCTGCACAAAGAAACCCTGTCTTGAAAAACAACAACAACAACAAAAGAAAACAGAAGACATTCTATCTATGATTAGTTCCTAAAACAAGATGTTTCATCTTCAGATAAAGGGGATTATTTATTGTTAGGACAATCATAGTTAAAAATCACAAGACTGTATTTGGGATACTGGATATGCAGAAGATTCTCCTGAATTCTGTGGCTTCGACAATATCAAGCTGCCTCAGGGTGCTTTATTGCATGTTCTAATGTCTCTTGTTTTTTTTTTTTTTCCATGACAATATATATACACTTGAAATAAGGTTTTTACTATTGGCTTATTGCTGGGTTAGACACAGAATTGTACTTTCTTATGCCTCATGGAACAGTCCTATTTGAAAATATAATAATCCTACAATCAAATAAGGCTTAATAGGTCTTCATGTAAAACTAAATCCAGTAGAAAAATTATACCAAGTTCTTCCCTATCATCCCCTCCAGTTGCTGCACTGGTGAACGGAAAGACATAACATATAGAAAACTCTGAATTAACTAGTATACTCAATATTGACAATGGCTTGACCTATAACAATAAAAAAAATAAAGAATGTTGGGATAAAGATTTGAAAAAGAAATCTGTTTATTACAAACTTTTCCTTTGAGAGTAAAAATTGCCAGATGTCATGCTTTATCAGAAAGACTCAGGAGGTCTTGTCAAAAGGATGGTCATGGCTTTCAGGCCATGACTGGGAATGGTGGATTAAATGGCACAGCCTACTGAACATTCCTTTAAACAAACAATACACCTTGTGAGCACAAGCTCTTATCCTCCTACTATCCTAGTATCCACTGCATTGATACAGTGACTTAGGCTGAAATTCTTGTCCTAGAAATGATATTTTACAGATAATTCTGAGAAATCCAAGACCCTCAGTCTTGTGGGTCCATGTGGTTTCTGTGGGATTTAGTCTTCAAAAATCATGACACCAGCCAAAGTCTCACAGAAGCTCATTAGATGCCCTGCTATGATGGAGTATAGGTTTTTCAAGGAAAAATAATTCAGAT